AACAAAGTGAAAATGTCACAGTTTGTGCTGTGGCAGGCAGGATGACGGAGCCAAATGCAGGACTCATACACAGAACAGTAAACTCAAAGCGGCAGCTTTATTCACTGGGAAAAATAATCCGTAAAATAAACTCACAAAAATCTAAATAAAACTTGAACATGGAAACTGGAAACGAAGAACTAAACACTGGGAGATTAGAAAACACACAGCAAACAGGGAAGGACGCGACAATGGACAGAGGAAAACGCAGCACTTAAATACACAGAGGGATAACGTGGGAATCGGACACAGCTGAGAGCGATCACAAATAACGAGATGTGGAGGAAGCAACACTGGAAACATTAACGAAGGACGTGAGACTATCAAAGTAAAACAGGAAACAGGGAGTTGACAGGGAGAAATAAAGAACATTAAACCAAAAACACAAACGCTGGGTCGCCTGAACAACAAGGGTCGAATGAACAGAGTTCTCTAAAAATATTAAAGCAGTCCAAGCAATAACATTTATTTTTCCAAATAAAATTCCATCAGTCATGACATGTTTCTGTCTTTGTTCACAGTATTTAAAAAGCTTCAACTATGTAGGAAAAAAACAGCAACATGTGTTTACTGGCTGTGACGCTCTCAGCCTATCTGGACCCAAACAGAGGAAACGTGACGCCAGATTTCCGAGGGAACCGGTGAGAAATGGGTCCATCTGGAAAACAAAGTCCGAGACTCACATTTAAAACCATTTCAGTGAATCATACGTTCTACACTTTAAAATAGAAAAACTCTTTAAAAAGGGAGAATTTCAATAAACTTCAGGGCACGTCATCAGTAAGTCGCCCAACTTCAGTGTGACGTGTTTTTGGGATGCACTCAAACGCACCATCTAGCCTGTCGAGCTTTTTCTGCATGTTTGTAGATGTAGATAAATCCACCGCTGTATTTATTCCTCCCCTCACTGCACGAGCGCCGGCGTGGTGGAGCGGCGGTGTATCGATGTCAGGGCAAACGCACAGAGAGCAGCTTGTTGGGTCAAATAGCTCTGGTAACAGGTCTAATTGAATCTATGTCAGGTTTTCACTGCAGCTACATCCACCATAGC